GTCACACAGGCCGTGCAGCTCGTGCTATATCAAGAGGGTGCATCTGTCTGAGCTGAAGACGGAGACGACGGTGCGCACTCCCGGGCTGCACCGGCGCACGGTGGAGGCTATTTTGAATGCGCCCTCCAGCGACGAGGCGGGCAAAATTATGCGCCGGTGGTCCACACACCCCGTCCATGTAAGTTGGGAAGATGGTTCATGGAAGAACAGTGGTGTGGTGTAGGTGTAGTCGGGGACGCCGCGAATGAACCATGAGGTGGATGGTGCACGGCGACACAGGGATTGTTTTCAGCCGAGTGTCTCTCCATCCCGCCTGTGTGGCGTGACAAGCCGGCGGAGGTGGAGCAGCGGACGAAGGAGGTACGGGCGTTCCGAAAGTACGCAATGTTCTACAAGGCACTGGTTGGCGTCCCAAAGCATACGGAGAAGACGCTGCGTGATGTCCGCACGGCGGCATACGCGTGAGTGTTGGGGGGGGGGGTGTTCGGGAAGGGGTGAAGGGGGGGCCAGGGGGGTGGTGCTGTCGGGGGAGGATGACATGGTTGGTTTTGTTCACGGTTGGGGATGGTGAAAGCGAGGTATGGAGGTGGGGTAGGGAGCATGATGAACCTTCCGCATGCGGCATGGCATGCGCGAGTCTAATGGGGGTGGTTGGCTGCGTGCGGACCGGTTCTGCGTGCAGGATGATGGACGCTATAGGGGATGCTTTTCCGGATCAAAAGTCCTCGTGGAACTTCCCGAAGGTGCACCAGATTGTGCACCTCATTGATGCCATTCCCCTCCATGGGATGCCGTGGGAGTACTCCACAAACCTATCGGAGCACACGCACAAGGGAACGGTGAAGGTCCCGGTCCGGGGCAGCAACTGCAAGGACATCCCACGGCGCATCGTGGAAGAAGAGGTGCAGCTAGAGATCACTCGAGAGGTGGCCGCTCTGGCGGGGGGGGGGGCGACAGTACGTCACGGCATTGCGCGAGGTGAGCAGACCCCACCACAGAGAGGAGATGGGGCCATTACATGAGCACGTGAAAGAGTAGGCGGGGATGGGACGCTTCTCCCCCCTTCAGTCACAAAATTGGTGGGACAAATATGGTGGGTTTGGTGACTTTATGTAGAGTTTTCCGTAGAAAAACCCACGGAGGCCAATTTTGGGCGACAGACATTTCCGCGATGTAGTGCTAAGTCTTCTCTGAATCTCGATCACAAAGCTCCTCTCCCTCTGTGATCTCTCCCCTGCAATGGATGGGATGGGAGAGTGGGGTGGTGGGAAAAGCAAGCGCAAGGGGAATCAATCAAGTGAACCCGCGCGCAGCACAAGGAGGATGGGCTTGCTCTTCTTCCCACAAACCTTTCGCCAGGCTTCCGCAACCACAACCGCCTCCGCCCACAGGGGAAGGTGAAGAGGACCTTAGCGAAATCGGCGAAGCATACGAACGACGGTCTCACTGCAGACTGCGGTTACAGGGTGCAAGGCAGATGACCTCGAAATTGACGAGAAGGCGGAGGTGGTTGCGGAACCGAACTACTAGGGGTGGAATAGGGTGAAGGCGGGAGGGAGCGGGGTGGGGTTGGGGGGGTCTATCTGGCATTTTTGCAGAGTGGACTGGCGGTAAATGTGTGTGGTTGCGGAGAGGGGGAAGGGGAGAATTGTAAGTGATGAGAGGCGGGTTTTACAATTGCGGAAATTCGTTGCGGAGGGGTTGGGATGGTTCCGGGCATCGATGCGCGCGTGTCAGCAGGCACCTTGACATCAGTTCCAGCCTGCACCTGCCACCAGCGGTTCGACTAGCCGCCTGGCCAAAGAGCGAGAATGGTTTGAGATTGTGTTTGTTTCGTCGTGTTTCCGTAAAGGGCGATGTTGTTCTGCATTCATCTCTGCTTAGTTAGCCGCGCCCCAACTCAGTTTCACTCTACCACTCAACAAATTTCAAACCGTCAAAAGAATGTTCATAGAATGTATTGGCAATGCTGAAAGTACTTACAGGGAAACAATGTTGTTGGTTTATCTCGAGGAATGCTCAAATGTCGAGCATTCCTCGAAGAATCATTCGGAGGTGTGCATCAGCAATCTTCAAGCAGGTTCGGCAAGCACTGCCCCAGCAAACTACCAGCATTGCTCATCCTCACTACAGCAACCGAAACAAATCAGATAGGAACCCTTTATAACGGATTGATTAATCACAGTACACTGAGGTAATCATATTCAACAAAATACGTATAATATAAAAATGCAAAACGGGTGCGCAATTATATTACCGTATTTGTTGAGGATTGTAACTAGACGTATGTCTTTTCAACTCTACCATACATGACAAACATTCAACAATACCTGGTCGGCCTTAACATTTACACGGATATAGTAGCCCATTTTCAACCTATTTATGTAACTGCATACATCATGCACCACATAGCGGATATGTAACATGCATTATTTAGCAGCTTACTTCTTGCGAGAGGGATCTGCAAAAAAAGCAGCAAAATTAGGTCGACAAAGTACTAGCACGCTATGAAACGGGCGACAGAATAACGCCGTTCATGCACCAACCGATCATGGCTGCCATTCACCTGCTCGATGACACGCGGATATTAGGGAAGGCCTCGAAGAACCGTGATTTGCTCGATGATAAAATGAGGATAACAATTGTGGAAAAAAAATCATCTTGGAACTGGAAACATATACGCGTGCCGAGTTTCTCGGAAGTCGCTGGTACCGGTAAAGAGCGTTGCCACGCTCTCTGGTATTCTGCGAAGACACATGTACTCACAAGGGCGCATAAGACAATGAGTATTTGCGTGAGTCCGAAACTCACCTGAGATGATCATGCATCTACGAGCGGGCGTAGGGAGTGACAAGGTAGCCTAATCGCCAGCTTCATCCGGCGAGTCAAACTTCAAAGCAGAAGCCGTCCGCCACAGAAGTCTTTCTATAGCCTGCAAGGGGGAGGATGCAAGAACAGAAAGACACACGTATTGAGTACGTGCATATGTCACCGAAACTAGGTAGATAGGAGCAGCCAGAGGACCTAGGAATGCAAGTAAAAGCACGAAATCGTAAGACGTGAAATGAACAGGTGCTCAGCTGTGGGTGGAGTTTGAAGGAGGGGGAGAGGTGTGGTGTTGCGTCACACGTGCAGACTGTCGAAATCACGAAATGTTGCGAGATGGTTCAACATTTGAAAACTTTCGCTGCTTTGGGTTCAAAAGGAGCCTAACGAAATTGGCGAGCTGGAAACCCTTTGCCTTCTGGGTGTCACATCTGAATGTGACAGCGCACCTTCAAACGTGACGCAGTTTTCTGACGCGTCATCAACACCTTATCTGATTCAAGTTACGCTATAGTCTGTTCTGCTATAACGCCAAAAAATCCCCGTCGACTTGATTCAACTGTCAAATTCATGCAATCTCGAAACCACTGTACACCCAACACAACCGAAGTAAATTCGATGTACGAACATAAATTGGCACGTGCGGGACGGTTTGGATGCGAACTGCTGGCGGCTGCTGAGACAATGGGGAAGGGGAGACATTGTTCCCCTATCTTTCAGCAAAGGTTCAGCACTGCTTACCCTCCTGAACACTGTTTCAAGTTACCGTAGGCATTGCCCGTGCAATGGTTAGTGCGCAAAGATGGGGAAAACTGAGATTTGGGCATACGCTGTGGCGATGTGAATTTTGTACTGCAGTAGCGGCGGCACGTAAGTAGTTGTCACCCTGATCTTGTATCTAGTTCTCCTTCTTCCGCGGCGCATCGAGTCGATTAGCGCACATTGTTCGCTGGCAGCAGCCGCATCGAGTCATTCTGACTACCGAGTCGCTACCATGACGCCTCGGTTTAGCGCCTCCTTCTTCGACTTCTCGTCAGCGCTGCTGCCGCGCACGGTCGACCGTGCCGTGGCTGGAATCAAATCCGCCGATTCGGGAATCCGCAGACCGACCGAAGGAATTCTGACCGACTTTCGCTCACGAACCGAGTATCATGGCTCGCAGGCCTTCGTTTGACTGTATTAGGTAAGTCGCGGTATCCGTTCGAGGGTTGCACGGCCAGAGTGCTGTGGGGCGACGACGCATGTGAGAGTCGCTCCAAGGACTGTGAGGGACCGCTGGAGAGGGGGGTGCTGATGGGGCTGCGGGGGCTATAGAGTATGCTTTGATGCCCCTACCCCTCTTCCCGCGACCCCAGTCTCCGTCCAATCCCCTAACCCCAATCGCCTACCGCAACGCCAGGTTCTGCGTGACCAGTGTCGCGTCTCATCTCCGTTGAATGCGCGCGGGATGATGGGAGTGGGTGGGCGTGCGACGTGCCAGTGTGTGCGCAGCGGGTCAACCCGGGCCACGAACGGCCGTGCCTCGCCGGGGCCATGCCCCGCTGGGACTGTGCCGCCAGTGGCGCTGCTGTGGGAAACGTAGTGATTCGCTGCATCTCCTACAACCTCACGTGTCCCATGCCTGCCGCTCCTACACCCCACGGGCAGAATAGGGGGCAGCAGCAAAGGCTGGCGGGCGGGCAAGCTTTAAGCGAATCAAGTCTTTCAGGCAAGTCAGTTGAGTGTCTGTGCTGTCGCTGGTCCTCCACTGCTGACTGCCCTTTTCAAGCTGAGGAGGCGGCAGGAGTGTCGTTTGCTGTACTTAAGACCCCAGTTGATGATTGAGACCTTTCCGTCTGCCGGGGACAGATCTCTGCCTTCACACACACCACGTGCAGCACACAACGCCCACTCTCTTCCTCGCACCTCCCTCACTTCCTCGCTCTCACTTGCATGCATGACTTTGCATCCTTCCGAAGGATTCGAAAAGAATCTTTTGGAACAGTTTCGGGACATTACATTTTGGAGATGTCCTCTTCCTTCGCCATCCCACATTTCTGCCTTACCCACCCCCCCCCCCCCCCCCCCCTCCCCCCTCCCACTCCCCTCCTTTCCCCCACCCCCTCCTCCCTCGTATCACGTCCGTGCCTGTGTGTTGCGACTGCCATGTGGGCGGCGTGGCCGATGTATGGCAGCCGGGGGCCAAAGGAGCATCCACGCAGCTGCAGCAGCAGTGGAGGCGCTGCGTGCACGTGGATGCGGACGTGCAGAGCAGCGCAGCCAGATGACTTGCGAGTCCACTCATGCACGCACGTCACCAGAGGCCGGCCACGCTGCAGCGATGCTACGTGCTGCAGCAGGTGGGGCAGCAACGGGGACAGGCAGGGCGGGTAGAGGTGAGGCGAGGAGGGCAGTGGGGAGAGAGGAATAAACGAGCAGGGAGGTCGGAGTGAGTCGAGAGAGGGGGCAGTTGAGCAAGCGCATGTTTGTGGGGCATGGTGAGGCATGGGCGCGTGAGCAGCAGGTGAGGGCAGCAGTGGAGTGGGTGATGGTGGCATGGAGGGAAGGGAGGCGAGCACTGGGTGGTTAAAGTGGAGCAAGAGCATGGATCCAGTGGAGCTTGCTGCATCACTTGATGTGGTGAGTGGTGCCACATTGGACAAGATTCTGTCAGGCACTGTTGCTCAAAATCCTGAATAAGCCTTCCCAGCTGTTTCCCCTATCACTGTTTGCATCCGTTGACACTGTCACATTGTGCGTTGACTTGGTCTGTTTCGCTTTTCCGTGCTGCTGCACTTCACTGATTATCACACCAGGTACCTTTCGTGCAGGAATGATGCAGGGCAGAGGTGAGAGGGAGAATGTGTCAGTCAGGCTCGGACAGGAAGTGTGTCAGCAGCAATCGGCTGTTCAGAGTGCCATGGCTTGGATTATTCTGGTGCGCATCATTCGTTCTACACCCCCTGTACCCTCGCCTGCCATGCCCTAGCACCTGATGGTAATATATGTTTCTCATCATAGCTCTTTCACAACAGTAGCATACCATGGCAGCGTGGCAGCGTGGCAGCAGGCGTCTGTCCTGCTACACCTCCGTTTACAATCTAGGCTGCATCTATGTGCTTACAACGCTGGTGTCGATTCTGTGTATGCATGTATGTTGTCGTAAAGGCAAGTTGTCTTCATTCGGCCCTCTGCACCACTCTATCCTTTGCCGTGCCGCCCCTCACTGTGCTTGCCTTCACTTCCTGACCCCCGTTTCATGCGTGCATGCATGCCCTTCTGCCATTCCGAGCTCACAACTCTCTCCCTTCTCTCCTTTTAAACGTTCCCGATGTCCTGCAGAGCCAGTAGCTGCCATCACACAGCCATTCTATTCCAGGAAAAAGCCTGCATGGTCTCCTATGTACGAACTCATGTATCCAGATGCGAGAGGGTATATTGTGCACGGGACGCGTTACACATGTTAAAGATCATGCATGCGCATGACTGGATCAAGTCACAACAACTCTCAATCAGTATTACCGTACACAAAACATCCATGACTAACACTACCATAGTTTTCCATAACAGCAGGATGCTCTTGCAGAATGTTTTTTCAGCTGCTGTTACTGGAATGGGCAACTAGGTGTACTATTTGTTGGGCTGAGAAAAGCCCTTAGGATCTTTACAGGGATGAACTCTGGGTAGGACTGTAATAGCGGAAGCGTTTTAATGAAAGGATTGTGAACCACCTTGCGGTAGTATGTGAGGGCAATGTAGATTAATTAAAACAAGGAGATACAAGATTATATAAGAGTACAAGGAATATGAAGAGGTACGGTTGTAACTACTTTACTGTTGCTGTTGCGGTTCGATACAGTGACGACTCGGGCAACTGCTCTGTAGCGGTCAGTTGTGTGTCCTTGCTGTCGCGCTGTATTTGTCAGGTCAAAGGTCGCTGACCTTTGACTTTCGCGTAACCTCCAATAGTTACTTCAACCTCCGAGGGTTGACTCGCTGGTGCCTCGATATGCTTTGCTTCGCTTGTGCCTTGGTGTTTCGACACGACAGAAGCGCTTAAGACCGATTGTTTCCAACACTCCCCTTCGCTTCTGGAGTGTCGCTGACGTGGCTCTGTCCAGTCAGTAGCATGCAATATTCGAACTTCTGCTTTCCGAGCTTCTTGGTCAGGTAGTCAGCTGCCATCTCGGACGTGGGACAGTATGACAGCTCGAGCCTTCCTTTCTCGATCTCGTCCTTCACGAAGAAATATCGCAGGGCGATGTGTTTCGTCCTGTTCGCGAAGCCGTTCTTGTTGGCGATGCGAATTGCCGACTGGTTGTCGCAGAACAGAGTGAAGCTGGGTAACTGAGCCAGCTTCGCTTCTTCCAGCAGTTCGCGAAGGTAAAGTCCTTCCTTGGTGGCTGAACAGAGTGCAATATATTCTGCTTCGGCTGACGAGAGAGCTATTAGTTCCTGCTTGCTCGACTGCCAAGAGATAGGTCCGATAGGTTCGAGGCGGTAGATGTAGCCAGTGCGAGAACGCCTGTTGTCGGAATCGCCAGCGTGATCGGCGTCGACGTAGCCGATTAACTTAGGCGGCGTAGTTGCGTTCTTGTGGTAAGTTAGACCGATCGTCGGGGTGCTAATAAGGTAATGAAGGGCGCGGTCGAGTTCTGCTAGATGTTCCGCTTCGGGCCTCTTGAGGTAGGTGGCGAGTTGGCTTGCAGAGTACGATAGGTCTGGGCGGCAGGTGCTGCGAAGAGGAGGCAGCCCAGCTTTCTCTGGTAGTCGCGTATGCCGGCGGGCTTGAGTAGAGCGGAGCCTTCCTTGTTGTTTCCTGACGTGTAGCGGTACGGTGTAGAGATGATAGTTGGTGTAAGTGCGAAACGCTTGGCGATGGTGTCGGCGTATTTCGCGGCGCTGAGGTAGATGGCGTCTTCCTCTTCCCGGATGTTGAGCCCGAGGTACTGTGTAACGGTAGATGAGACTGTCAGTGTGAGATCCTGCTGTAGCTCCCCTTCGAACCAGGTGGTTACGCTGTCGGTTGAACCGATGTAGAGGAGATCGTCTACGTAGACGATTAGTAGGATGTAGTCTGCGCCTTTCGTGAGTCGGTACATCCCCTGATCGTGAGGTAATTGCTTGAAGCCGATACGAATGAGGCGGGCGTGCAGGTACTGCTGCCATAGCCGCGGAGCTTGCTTGATCCCGTAGAGCGACTTCAGCAGCTGACAGACTTGGTTCGGCTCCCCGTTGGTACCGTGCGGTAGTTCCACGAAAATTTCTGCGTCAACGGGTGCGTAGAGAAATGCGTTTGCGACATCGATTTGCCGTAGCTTCTTTTTCTTCATGGCGGCGATCGCGAGAAGAATTCGGAGCGAAGTGTGTCGGCTGACCGGAGCGAAGGTTTCGGTGAAGTCTCGCCCGTGTTCTTGGTCGAAGCCACGCACGACCCATCGTGCCTTGAATTTGTCAATGGTGCCGTCGGCCTTCGTCTTCACGCGGAAGACCCATTTCCCGATGAGAATGGTCTTGTTCCGTGCTACGCCGATGGGGACAATTTTCCACGTGTTGCGCTCCTCTAATGCCTTCAGTTCTTTGTCCATGGCTTCGCGCCATTTTTCCCTATGCTCCCCCCCCAGAGCCTGCTGAACCGTCGCAGGCTCCTTAGGAACGTCCGTGCCGTGGACTGCGGTGACGAGCCCGAGTATCTGGAGTCCGCTCTGTGTGTAGCGGGGGAGTGACATGTCCGCGGGATAAGCAGCTTCGTCTCCCGCTTCTGGATCAGGTGCGAAGTTGGGTCCTATGCGTTCTGCTTCGTCGGTGTTTACTTGTGCAGGTGTAACGTAACCGTTGTCAGCGAAATGGTAGTAGGTTTCGGCGTTGATGCTCTCGCGTGGGGTTTTGTCGTCCATTGGCACGTTGACGGAGCAGTAGGGGAGGGGTCCGGCTTCTTCCGAGGCTCCTTCCACGTTCTGCTCGTCCCAGTCAGCTTCGTCTTCTGCCGAAGCGAAGGCTCGGTCTCCACGGAAGCCACCTGTGGGGTCTCGGTTTTCGTCCAGGTTGGCAAGGTACGTCTGCAGTGTGAGTCGCTCGTAGAAAATGACATCACGTGCTGCCACTGTTTCTTTTGTCTCGACGTCGAAAATCTTCCATGCGTTGTAGTGTTTTTCGATGCCCAGGTGTAGTCCCCACTGTGCCCGTTGGGAGAATCGTCATGCTCGTGCAGATGGAGGTCGGTACTGTACCATGCAGCCGAAGACTCGTAACATTTTTGTGCAGCCCAATTTTCCTGTCCACAGCAGATCCGGTGATGTGTTGTTCGGAAGTGACGACGAAGAAAGCAAGTTGTGTAGCATCACGGCGTGGTCCATTGCTTCGGGCCACTGGTGGGTGGGTAGCCGCATGCCACGTAACAGTTTCCGCATGGTGTTCTGGAGGGTCCTGTTCATCGCTGTTGATGGGCGTAGGAAAGGGAAATGAGTCGCTTGATTCCTCTCTCTGCCAGATACTGCTTGAACCTTTGTGAGGTGTATTCTCCTCCCCCGTCTGACTGGAAGCTTTTTAGTTTGACGCCCGATTCCCTTTCTGCTACGGGGAGCCAGGCGGCGAACGCTTCGAACGCCATATCCTTGCTTGGAAGATTCAGGTGCCAAACGTAACGTGTTGCGGCGTCGATGAACGTGATGGTGTAGTTGTACGCGTTCTGCCCTGGCTCGCGATTGTACAGGATGTCGCTGTACACCTTCTCGAGTGGCGCGTAAGCTGGTGCGCTTGGGTTATGGTGAGACGCGAACGGTCGATGTGGTAAGTCAGCTTCAGGACAGGTGAAGCACGTTCCGCGTACTCGTTGAAGTTCTCTTCCGTCGGTCAGTAGTAGTGAGTCCTTGTCAAGTACTCCTGCTCTTATCGTATTATTTAATACTGTGTTGCTTGGGTGTCCCATCCTTGCGTGCCAGGTGCTTTCGTCGGCGCAATGTCCGGGTGATCGTCGGTACAGATCGGAGGAGGAGTAGAAGTTGGCGGTGAAGTTGGCGCTTCGATGAACTTCTCGTGGTGCTGGGTGTAGTTGTTGCGCGGGTGTCGGTGGTGTGTCGTCGACGAGGAGCGGTGTCGTTGAAGGACCAGCGATTGGTGTTGACGTTCCTGCTGCTACCGTTGATAGTTCTGCTACTGACGATGTTGTCTCTGCTGCTGCCGATGTTGTCTCTGCTGCTGCCGATGTTGTTTCTGCTGCTGTCGATGTTGTCTCCGCTGCTGCCGATGTTGTCTCTGCTGCTGCCGATGTTGTCTGAAGTGTTGCTAACGCCCTTGTTCTTTCTGCCTCAGGGATGGTGTGTGAATACCAGAAGCCTTCTGGACTGAAGTCTGGATCAAGGTCTGGAGGGTGGGTCCAGGAGGTGAAGGTGACGATGCCGTCGCTGTCTGCTGTGCCAAGATCTGGGACAAAGTCAAGAACGAAGACGTTGTTTTTTAGGATCGCCTTTCCGATGTAGAGGCCGCCCTTCCCGTGGTACAGCTTAAATTCCTGGGTGGTGCTGTCTGCCTCAAGGTGAATGCCCTTCGCCATCAACTGACTGACGCTCAGTAAGTTGTAGCCGAGGCCTTCTGCGATTAGAACCTTAGACATTTGTAAAACGACATTTGTCTCTCGTGATTGAAGTTGTACCACGCCTTGTCGTCGTGTGCGCATGTTCTGATTATTGGCGACGGTGATGACCACTTCGTGTTGAAGTTGATATTCTCGCTGCACGAAGCGTCCTGAAGAACACATGTGTTGTCCGCAACAAGTGTCCAGGAACCACGTGTCTGTTGGAATGGTTCGACGAACCACACCTAAGTGACGGCGCGACTTGGTGAAATTCGGACCGACGGCGATCTACTTTACGGTGGCGTGTGGAGGAAGCAAAGAGAAGAAGCTAAGAAGCTCCTAAGTTGCTTGGCGTGTGAGCTACGTAAGGAGAAGCTACGGGAAGAAGTTGGAGTGAAATGGGAGGAAGATTGGTGAAGATTTGACTAGGGGAGAAGAGTTGGTTTGACGGGGAAGAAATTGGGTTAGGTTCATGGCGTGTTCAACAAGTTTCTGTTTTTCGGACTTTGGGAGTGTTCGACGAAGCAGGGTCGGTTGCGTGTGCGACTCGACGTGACACTTGGAGTGTGGTACCAGTTTTGTTTATTAGGAGTTTGCTTGTGTGACACGTTTTTGTTTGGGGTACTTGTGTGCATTGGGGGTAGTATAAGTTTGTTGTAGTTGTTTGAAAATACAACCTTGGCAGAATCCTATTTTGAAGGGCAAGGTTCAAGTCCCGCAGTGCACATTTCTGATTGTTCAGTGGAATCTTAGTCAATTCCCCGTGAAAGTATTCGCGAAGGCCCCGCGAGGCACTAGTGACGCGAATTTCTCTGGGAAGGCATCGCCAGACGCTAGTGAAGGAATCGCGAACCGAATTCCTCTGCAGAGCGCCAGTGAAGCGCCAGTCAAGCGTTGGTGAAACAGAAAACAGTCAAACGTTAGTGAAATGTTGACAGAATTAACCGCTGCGCATATCGTTGGAATCGTGAGAACGAGGAGAACGTCATCGACAATAGCAAGCAGACTTTTGTCGACTGAGGCGTCTACGATCCTGACAGTTGGTATCAGAGCTTGGAGAAGGCAAACGGGCGTGCGCTACTCGTCAAGAAGAACGGGCGTGCACTACTCGTCGCTAAGTGGGAGAAGAAGGAGTTCTTCACGCCTACGCCATGGGGGACGAGGCGAGTTCGGGTTCCAGTGTGAGTTTTGGAAACCCGGAGATGAAGGCGCTTCTCGAGGCACTTGCGAGTGTCCGCGTGGTGACGAAGCCGACGATCGGGCTCAGTGAAGCCCAACGCTTCAAGGGAAGCAACTACAACGTATGGCGGAAGAAGTTCATTCGGAGGGCAGAGGAGGTTGAGCTCCTACCGTACTACCGTCCCGACGAAGAGACGAAGGAGGGAGTTCCACCTTCCAAGACGGATCCGCCGGAAAATGTGGTGTTGTTTAAGAAGCAAAGTAAGAAGGCATTCTTCCAACTTTGCGATTCGGTTGCTGATACTATTGCGGTGGATTTGGACCAATTTGCAGGGGAGCTGAACTCGGCACAACGAGCGTGGGAGTACTTGGAGTCCACCTACATGGGCAACAATGATACTAGCAGAAAGGCCGTGAGGAAGCAACTGTTGATGCTGAGCATGGAGAAGGGTGAAAACATCATCACCTACATTAATAGGGCGAAGAGCTACAACGACGACCTACGGGTGATGGGAGCCGCGGAGTCGGAGCAAGCGATGATCGACTACATCGTTGAAGGACTTCCTAAGGAGTACGAGTCGGACGTTGGTATGTTCAGTATCAACCGCCGGAGAACCTGATCAAGCTCCAAGAGATTCTTCAATCTCTTGAGACGGTGAAGGAGATAAGGAGGAAGAAGGCGGCTAAGGAGATTGAAGACGAGAAACCTGGTATGGTGAATGCAACAAGGACCTTTGGAGCATGCTACCAGTGTGGAAAACGGGGACACAAGGCAGTCAACTGTTATGACAACCCGAGGAGCAAGAACTACAAAGGGAAAACGGGGGAGAACGACCATGAAGATAACCAGGGAGCGGATAAACGCGGATTTGGCGGCAAATGCGACTATTGCGGGCGCTTCGGTCATCGTGCCGCGGATTGCTTCTCCAACCCGAATAGCAAGAGTTACAAAGGATCACAGCCGAGGAACGTGGCTGCAAAGGCAAACGTGGCAGTGGTGGAAAAGGAGGACGTCATCCTTGGTGGTGCACACCGTGCCAACGTGGTGCGAGTGCCTAAGGTAAACGAGTCAACGGTTGGTGGTAAGAATGATGCGTGGCTCTTGGATAGTGGCTGCACTCGTCACATGACTTATAGGTCCGAGTTGGTGGAGAACATGAGAGAATCAAGTGAGAAATTCATTCTTCAAGGTAACAACGCGAAGGTTCCAGTGACGGGAGAAGGTGATGTGGTGCTACAGAGTCCTTATGGTGGAATGAGACTTGAGCATCTTTTGTTGGTTGAGGACTTGAAGGTGAATCTGATTAGCCAATCACAACTTGATGATTTGGCATGCAAGGTGTTCTATGATGACGGTAAGGTTTCGGTATTTGGTCCTTCATGGGAGAAGTATGCGGATGGCTACTTCAACGACGGTTTTTATGAGATGAGCTTGATTGCGATGAATGATATGGATACGGTGTATGATGATGGTGAGTTCTATAACGATGAGGTGAAGGAGAAATCCTTCATTGAGGTCGAGGTTGATGACAGTGGAGAAGCGGCATCTTGTGTGAAGAATGACGTATTGGTCAAGGAGAAGGTTGCGCGTGTGGAAGCACCAGTGAAGCCGAACAAGGGGACTCGTGTCAACAAAGAAGCATCAACGATCATCATTGAAGATGAAGCTGCAAGCGTGGAGTGTGATGGAGTTGAAGCTGCAAAAGGAACAATTGTGGCGAAAGGATTGAAGGCGAAAGGAGCTGCAAAGGTGCGGCCAATGAGGAGTGCAAGGATCGAGAGCATCTATCGCGGCTGGGATCTCAAGGCGATTGATTTCAAGCCAAAGAAGCAGAGGATTAAGTTGCAAGAGGTGCAGGGGAGTGTGAATCTGACCTAGATCAAGAGGAGTACGGAGAAGTGTGTGGTTGTCGAACCACATGTCCTTCCCGGATGGCTCGCTTTGAGCAATGGCTGCGTATGTTGGGTTCGGCTGGAGTGACTCGCGGCGAGGTGTGGTGTCGTCAAGTCGTTCTTCCGGTGAGTAGTATGGTGGTGACTCGGTGATGCAGGAGTCACTTAGTCTTGCCATGCAGCTGACGATGTTTCTTGCTCCTTGTGCAGGTGGTGTTGTTGACGGTTGCAACTGACTCGTGGGGTTCGCCTGCGTTGAAGCCACTTGGCTGCTGGAAGGTCGAAGCTGTCGTTGCGGTGGAGTTGACTGTTGTCGGTTCGGGCAGTGTGTGCGCGGGTGCCCTGACGTCTTGCAGATGTGGCAGAAAGGAGGTACGGACTTCGGTTGTTGTTGTTTGTAGCTGTTGTAACGTCGCTGAGTGTGGAACGCAAATTCCGGTGCTGATGTCTTCTTCTTGTGTCGTTCTTCTTGCAGGTCCATATCTTGCTGCTCGGCATGGATTTCGGCGCAGAGTGCTGCTTCGGAGATTCTTCCGTGGGCTCGGAGAATGGCCTTTGTGGCGCGCCATGGAGGACCGAGGCCGCCGATGATGACTGTCACGAAGGCGTCTTCAGAAATCGACCCCCCGCATCGCAGAAGCTTGTCGCGCAATTCGCGACAGCGACTGATATACGCCATCCCCTTTTCGCCTGGTTTCATTTCCACTGTTGTCAGTTGTGCCATTAACCGACTCTGGTTGACGCTGTCTGTTGCTTGATACAGACTCTTCAGGTGGTTGTACGCGAGCTCGGCGGAGTTGCCGTATCCTCGATAAGACCGGATATTTTGCTGTTGGGTTGGCGTGACGTTGCGCAGTAGAATCGTGTACGCCATCATCGACTGATAGGTGTACTGCTGTTTGTCGTATTGTGTCCCGTGTGTTGGGTATGGCAGGGACCCGTCGAAGAAGCCAAGTATCTGCGCGCCTTCCATCATTAGCTCGAATTCGAATGACCAGGTAAAGAAGTCTTTTCTGTCGAACGGTCTTGATGTCTGTAGTTTCAGGACGTGCGCGAACTGCGACTGAACTTGAAGTGCGTCCAATGTTTTCTCTTGCTCAGGTGAAGTCTGTTGGCGCGGCATGAAGCTGACTGAACCACGCTGAGGTTCATACGGGGCAAAGGTAGGTTGCTGCTGGTTTCCGCGCGCGTAGGATGAGCCATCAAGACTCATGGGTGTGACGTCGTTGTTGTTGTTGCTGATGTTTGACTGCGCAGGTGCCGTTTGCTGATGCTGCTCGTAGAAGGACATGAAGGAGAAGAACTTCTCCATCATGCTTGGGTCGAAGCCCGTAGCTTGATTTGCGGGAGTTTCAGTAGACGTAGCTGCCGGTCTTGTTGCTGTGCCTTCCTCTGTGTGCAGGCCAGAGGCAGGAGGTGGAGTAGGAGTGGTACCAGGAGAGCCATTAGAGGAGCTTCTCTCCTTCTGAGTTGCCATGCCTTCTGATGTTGTAGGTGTCTTGATAATAGTGGAGTTTGCCCTAATAGCTCTCATACCATGTTGGGCTGAGAAAAGCCCTTAGGATCTTTACAGGGATGAACTCTGGGTAGGACTGTAATAGCGGAAGCGTTTTAATGAAAGGATTGTGAACCACCTTGCGCTAGTATGTGAGGGCAAAGTAGATTAATTAAAACAAGGAGATACAAGATTATATAAGAGTACAAGGAATATGAAGAGGTACGGTTGTAACTACTTTACTGTTGCTGTTGCGGTTCGATACAGTGACGACTCGGGCAACTGCTCTGTAGTGAGTCAGTTGTGTGTCCTTGCTGTCGCGCTGTATTTGTCAGGTCAAAGGTCGCTGACCTTTGACTTTCGCGTAACCTCCAACAGTTACTTCAACCTCCGAGGGTTGACTCGCTGGTGCCTCGATATGCTTTGCTTCGCTTGTGCCTTGGTGTTTCGACACGACAGAAGCGCTTAAGACCGATTGTTTCCAACACTAATGACACACCACACCATCGAGGGCTAGTACATCCACCGGTACGAAGTATGTCCCCCTGGGAGGCGAAGCTTGCCTTCATCGTCGTGCAGCTTGTCACACCCGCCAGAGATCAAGCGGTCCAGCAGCTTCAGCTCGCCCACGTCGTCCGGCAGCGCCTCCAGCTGCCTGCAGCCCTCCAAGTCGAGCTTCTGCAGGCGGGCAAGGCGAGCGAAGTTGGGAGGAAGGCATGTGATGGCGGCCCTGTGCACGCGCAGCTCGCGCAGGCAGGCCAGCTGCGTGAAGGAGGCCGGGAGGTGTGTGAGCGCTGGGCTGTTGGAGAGAATCAGCTTGCCTAGTCGGGACAGCGCCCCGATGGAATCGGGCAGGGAAGGCAGCTTGGGAGCGTTGATCTCGAGGTAGGTGAGCTTGTGGAGCGCTGCGATGGTGGCTGGGATCTCCGTCAGCTCAGGCAAGAGCAATTCCAGCTGCCGCAACTCCTGCAGCGTTGAGGTGGAGAAGTGTGGCAGCTGCATGACTACGGTGGTGATGAGTGTGAGGGAGCGCAGGCGAGGGAGGTCCGCCAACGGGAATGGGAACTCCTCCTCACACGCCAACACCACATGCAGGTGCTCCAATGAAGCAAGGCTGTTGGACAGAGCAAGTGGAAGGATGACCATGTTCAAGCGTGCTGTCTTGAGGCGTGGGAGAGAGTAGGTACCCGGCAGATGCATCACCTGCTCAGCACCACTCCCCAAGCTTAGGATTTCCAACGACCCCGGCAGGAATTCAGGAGCTCGCCTCAGCTTGCCACACGTGGTCAGCTCCAGCTGCTTCAGCCTGGCCAGATTGAGCAGACTCTTGGGCACGGAGAAGAGGCTGCTGCACTGGTCCACCACGAGCACTTGCAGGTTCAGCAGGGCTGTCACGGACTCTGGGAGTGTCTGCATGCGCGGGCACGACTCGAGGTACAGCTCGCGCAGGTGCCTCAGCTCGCCTATGGCGTGTGGCAGGTCGACCAGCTCGCACTCGTGCAGCTCCAGGCGTGCGAGCGACGCCAGGTGCGTGAAGGAGGAAGGAAGGGTTTCCCGCGCCCGGTACGACTTGAGGAAGAGGGTGTGCAGGTTGGTGAGCCCTCCCATGTCGTCAGGGAGAACCACCAAGGGTGAACCCGCGAGGCACAGGGTCTTGAGCGCGGTGAGGGTGGCGAGCGGGTGCGGTAGCTCGTCCAGGGTCTCGCACTCTGTGACTGCCAGCGTCTCGAGGGCCTTGAGCTGGCTGCACGAGGCAGGGAAGGCGATGTTCAGCCTGTGTAGCACGAGCGTTGTCAAAAGAGGCAACTCTCCCAACTGGTCTGGCAGGCCGACGAATGGGCACCTGGCGAGCGTCAAGGAGCGCAGCCCGGTGAGCAACGTGACCGCCTCGGGCTGCTCCAGCAAAGTGTCGCACGCGCTGATGCTCAGCTCGCGCAGACACGGCAGGCGCTCGGCGATGTCGTGCGGGAGATTCTGCAGCTCGTCGCACTGGTACAGCGCCACGCGCTCCAGCACGCTGCACGGGGACTCTGAGGGGGACTCTGAGGGGGACTCTGAGGGGAACATCTCATCGAACGGTGGAGAGGGGCTGGATCCTAGATCCAACGACTTGAGCGACGATAGGCGCGCGAAGGAGAACCGACGAGAGCGAAAGGTGCCAGGAAAAATGGAGACTTCGTGCAGCACGGAGAGGGACGTGAGGCGCGGCAGGTGCGCGAGGGGCTCGAGGTCGTCGTAGTCCCACACCGCCGTGTCGATGGCCATCGCCTCGAGGGCGCTCAAGCTCTTCACTTCTGGAGTGGTTACCGCGGACAGATCGGCCAGCGCGAGGGATCGGAGATGCACGAGCTGGAAGAGCGAAGCTGGTAACCCGAACTCGCAATGCAGGCAGGAGATCGACAGGTGCTCCAGCTGCGTGCATTTGCGGAAGAACACGTCGAAGCCGGCGGGCGTGAGCAAGGTCTCTCCCGGCGGGTCGTACTCGGGGTTCTGCACGATGGCATTCCCGAGATGGAACGCAGTCAGCTTGGGGCAGCACGCGGCGAGGCGAGCGAGGAAGGCGTCGTCGATGGGCTGCGCGCTGCCGTCGCTGAGATGCAGGTGCGTGAGGCGCGGGAAGCACGCGACTGCCGCGCCGAGATCCTCGTGGGAAACGCTGCGGTTCTCCTTGACGAGCAGCGTGGACACGTGGCGCTGCGCTAGGCGACGCCAGCGGCGGCAGATCGACGCAAGGAGAAGATTGTACGCGGCGTCGGCGTACGCCGGAGGAAGAGGAGGATTCGGAAACATGGTATCGCTCTGCTGGTAACGTGGCTCGTCTGCATTTTCGCGAATGAACCTTGGGGTAGGTCGCACAGTGGCCCACAGAGCCTCGTCGTCGGACTGGCGAGAGGAGAGGCGGTTGGAGGGCCAGAAGATGGCAATGAGAAGCTCGTCGGGAAGGTCATTCATGCGCCAACACGCCATAGCTCTACCGCAGGTTCAAGGTAACCCGGTTGAAAAGGAGTGGGAGAGCAAGTGCGCTCGCTAGGACTATGGTGTTAGGGATAACAAGATTTCAAAATGTAATAAAATATGGCTGCTATCTTCTTGCTGCAGTTCTGATCTCTCGCCCGCCTTGTTCAACTCTGCTGTGCTGTCTCATCGCCTCAGAATCCCGCCATTTCCTTGGTTTGCTGCTCTCCCTGGTGTGTTGGACGTGGTGGATCAGGAAGGCGGGATGACGAGTTGATTCGACTGCTGTATTCCCAAATGAATTCAAAACTCGGAGGGTAATCAAGTATTTGTTTCACTTACGAGGGGTTTCATTTGTTCGTTTCCCCTTGGGGATCCCATTATTTCCAGTCGCGGTGTGGCGGAACGGAGTGTACATGTGCGGTTCAACTCCCAGGACATACCGACTGACCGAAGAACACGTGGAGCTTCAAATCTCTGCTGTTCAGTTCAGAAGCTGGATTGTTTCATGAATGGAATGGAATGCATGAATTGTTTCAGAAAGAGATTACCGATCTTTGAACTATCATATCATTATTTTCAAGTACAATAAGACAACCACACTCATTGTGTTGTTCGTTAGATTGGGTTAACATTGGAAGACCAACACTTGCAAGTGTCGTTTGTTAATCATTTCCTAGTTTAATTTACACGATAGATTGATACGAGAAAGCTTGGACTTTTGGATACATAGGCTATGGTGTACATGAGCTCTTTGTATAATGTACCTTAATTTATATGATGAAATACACGATTCTGCATCTAGTCATGCACCCATTTGTACATAGAAGAGCATATATGCTTCTTTCTGGGATTGAGAGGCTGTGACATCAGCCTCTGGTACCTGCAGGTTTGATTCGAAGGGAGAGAAGTTTTGTGCAAGGAGAGGCAAGAAGCTGAGCATGCATGCAGGGCGTGTAGGCAAGAATAACCTGGTGCGAGGGGGGGGATGGAGTGACGTAGGCAAGGTTCAGATAAAGAATAATTGCCATTGCAGCAACGTGCATCCATACAAGATCGACGTCAACATTGTCAGACGAACTCACGTTTCTGATCACGACGCCATCATCGAGCTGCGTCCAACCAGGCGGTGACAGGCTGTCATCCGCCACGTCAGCAATGTAATGACCGTGCGCCACGGAGGTCCCCGTGTGTCGCACCACGGCCCGCAGCGCCAATAGCGAGTTGCCACGTGGCTGCGGTTCAGTGGAGATAGAAGGGGGAAGGAGCAACGTCGGATGAAGTTGATGGAAGGGGAAATGGGAGCGTGGCATGCTGCCGTGCTGCCGTGTTGCCGTGCTGCTGTCGGCCGCTAGAGCATGGCAGAAGAAGGAAAGAGGGGTAATGGCATGAGGGATGCGTGCAAATCAAACAGCCTGATTGTGCTGCAGAAGCAGCCATTTGCTGCAGAGAATCTTCCCTCACCGAGTCATTTGAGTGACACATTCTACAACTCACCTCTGCGCCTTGAGAGATAGCTCCTTGCATCGCTGCTGCGCACAGGGGACCTGATGTGGTGATCAGACAAGTACACCGCAGAGTCGACAAGAGAAATGAACTCAGTCAATGCAGAATATAGCAGCATAAAAGGAGTCAAACATAGATAATGGCTGGAAAGGCTTATCAGGGATATGGAACAGCAGTGAGTAAATTGAAAAGAATTCCTCACCAACGTCAAGTGTCTTGGCAATCTCCACCCGATCCACATTCTTTCTGCACTCGTACCGACCCCTGCTCGCCTCCCTTCCCTCCATGCCACCATCACCCACTCTGCTGCTGCCCTCCCTGCCACCATCCACCATCACGCCCACAGGGCTGTCACCACCACCATCGCCTGCACCCTCCCCAATCACACCCGCTGCCCCTTCCAGCAGCTCCGCCCAATCCTCCTCCACCTCTTCATTCTCCTCTTCACACTCCCTACCCTCGCCCTCCCCCCCTCGCCCCTCCTCTTGCTCTTCCCCCTTTCCTTCACTTGACAACTTGATTCTCCCAGCCAGCTGCCCCTCCAACCTTCCCCCAGTTTCCATTTCCTCCGCATCTGCACCCACCGTACTCACACGCTTTATCAGCCAGCCGCCACCCTTGAGCCCACACACCACCCCCGTAGGTGCCACCTCCGTGAACACCACCGGCCTGCCTGCAGCCTTTGCCAGGGAGAAGGGGTTGACAGTCGATGCCCCAGCAGCCGGCACAAGAGGAGAAGCGGGGGAGCGAGACGAGGCTACGTCGGTTGTAGCCTGAGGCGCCTTGCCAGTCGGAGCAGAGGGAGGAGCAGTTTCTTTTGGCACGGACAATGGGTTCTCGTCAGGGAATGGAGGGGAAGGGTTAAACAGAGGGCGGTATGCGAGGGGGCGTGTGTGTTGAGCAATCGGAGGGGACGGAGCGGGTGGTGGTTCACACGATGGAGGCGGTGGGATGGTGGTGCTGCCTTGGGGGTTGCCAAGGGAGGCAGTGGGCTCCTCGTGGCACAGAGGGGGTTTCTCAAGGCATGCAGTGGGGTGGAAGGTGGTTTGGAATCGGTTGAGGTGGAGGACGAGGATGCGAGGTAGACGCAAGAAGGCTCGGGAGATGCGGCACGGTGCAGAGCGGTGACAGTGGGTGCATACCCTGCCTTGCACGGTCTCGTCCTGGAGAGAGGGGCAATGAAAAGAGGAGGTACCGGGGAACGAATAGAAGAACAAGTATATTATGAAAGCGAAACAAATGCTGCTTTGTGCAAATATGAAAGCACATGGATAGCAATCACATGCACGCCATGGGAAGCAAATCGTACCTGGAAGAAGTTCTGCAGCAGTGTTGAGAGCGGATGGCGCGCGAGAGAGGCGGCTGCACCACCAGCAGCAACAGCAGCACTGGGATCAGTAATACCGCCTCTGCTACCTGCACCAGTGCATGCAGCAGCTGCAGGGCCAGCAGCAGCAGCAGGAGCTTCAGATCCAGCAGTGGTGGAGTGGGTAGCAGGGCTCCCGGGGTAGGCGGAGGGGATTGGGAGCGACAGACAGAGAAACTCCTCTTCACCGGTTTCTCTCCCTCCACACCCCTCACACTCCCTCACCACCCCCACCGTCGACAGGAAATTGCTGCCAACAGCAGACGAACTCCCGGCCTCAGTGCTCGCCTTCTCTAAACCCTCTTCCCTGCCTCCACCCTTCTCTAACTCTGCGACTCCCCTCTCTCCCTCCTGTCGCAGCCCTCCTTCCTCGCTTTCTCCCGCCCGGCCTTCTCCCAGGGTTGGCGTGTGGGCGAGGGCGAGGGCGTGGGCGGGAGGCTGGGTGTGCGTGGGAGAGGCAGCAGCGGCGGCGATGGTGGCGGCTTCGGAGGCAAGGCAGTGCAGCAGCGCGCACAGGTACTCGTGGGCGTCCTGATGGGCGCACGGGCGATGGGGAGGTGTGAGGGGGTAAGGGGCGCGATGGGGAGGTGTGAGGGGGGAAGGGGCGCGATGGGGAGGTGTGAGGGGGGAAGGGGCGCGATGGGGAGGTGTGAGGGGGGAAGGGGCGAGATGGGGAGGTGTGAGGGGGGAAGGGGCGCGATGGGGAGGTGTGAGGGGGAAAGGGGCGAGATGGGGAGGTGTGAGGGGGGAAGGGGCGAGATGGGGAGGTGTGGAGGGGGAAAGGGGCGAGATGGGGAGGTGTGAGGGGGGAAGGGGCGAGATGGGGAGGTGTGAGGGGGGAAGGGGCGAGATGGGGAGGTGTGAGGGGGGAAGGGGCGAGATGGGGAGGTGTGAGGGGGGAAGGGGCGAGATGGGGAGGTGTGAGGGGGGAAGGGGCGAGATGGGGAGGTGTGAGGGGGGAAGGGGCGAGATGGGGTATGAAGGGAACGGGGCGAGATGGAAGGAAGGGGGAATGCCGAGATAGGAGTATGAGAGGGGTTCAGACCTGCCCTCACCTGCTGCCCTCACCTGCTGCCCTCACCTGCTGCCCTCACCTGCTGCCCTCACCTGCTGCCCTCACCTGCTGCCCTCACCTGCTGCCCTCACCTGCTGCCCTCACCTGCTGCCCTCACCTGCCGCTCTCACCTGCTGTTCCTGTCCCAGGAAGATGCGAGCGCTGCGCCCCACGGCCCTTTTAACAGCGCTCGCATCCGCCACGCCACCCGCTGTCCCCCTCGTTCGACTACTAATGCTCCCTACGGTGGCGCCACTGCCGTTGCCACGTGGCAGGCCCAGCAGCTGCCACATCAGCCGCTGAATCTCGGTGGTGACGGGGAGGCGGAGGGAGGAGGAGCGGGCGAGAGGGGCGGGGAGGGGCAGGTGGAGGAGGTGGGAGAGGAAGGGCGGGAGGGAGGCGAGGGCTTGCAGTGTGGCATTGACGTAACACATGTTGATTGCATCGCATGTGCTGTTGAGGAGACTGACGGTGGGGCGGGGGAAAGGAGGGGATGGATAAGAGGGGTGACGGAGGGGTAAATGGATGGAGAATGGAAATGGGGCGGGGGAGGAGGGGTTAAGGGAGATGTGGATAGCGAAGAGGCACGAGAGTCAAGAGTGGACGGGGGAAACACGAGCGAAGGAGACGTGGGGGTGTGGAATAGTGACGAGGAAAGGAAGAGAGGGAAACATTTGTTGGGCGTGGAGGGGCGAAGAGGAAGGTGGAGAGCAGAGAGAAGAGAGGTGCAGAAGGTGCACGATGAACGAAGGCGAGGAGGAGAGGGAGTAGGGAAGATGGTGACGCGCGAGAAGAGGAGAGGGGAGAAGAGTGGCGCACCCTATCCTTGATCGTGGTGTTATGCGATACTGGCACCCATCCTTGCCGTGCCTTGCCACATCCTCCTCCGCGCCACCACAGCGCCTTCCAGCCGCACCTCCCCCTCCTTCCGCCACGCACTCGTTTCCCCGTCCCGCTGCGCCTTGCGACTTCCCTGCATCATACGCCCACGCCTCACCATGCCCCACACCCGCCTGCGTGCTCCCCGGCCCCGTTTCTCGACTCGTCCCAGCCTGCTCGCGAGTCCAGGTCTGCCCACCCGCCGCCTCCTCGCCTCGAGTCTGCCCTGCCTGCCCGCGCTGCTGCCCCACCTGCTGCAGCACGTAGCTTCGCTGCACCTTCGCCAACCTCTCGTCACTCCTTCTGTCCACGTCAGCATCCATCTGAAGCCGGCGCTTCGCCTGCTGCGGTTGCGGCCTGCACGAGCCCTTGGGTCCAGGCCGCCACACACCTGCCACGGTGCCGCAGATAGACACCCACATGGAACGGTGGAGAGCGATGAAAAGGTGCAAGGGGGGTGAAGGGGCCTTTGCTCGAGCAGTCACGGCGCACACTCACGGCGTGTGCCTGCGTGAGCAGCGACGGCGAATGCACGAGCGGTGGAGCACGTGAGCGGCGTGGCGACATGGTGCTGGCGCGACATGGTGCTGGCGCGACATGGTGCTGGCGCGACATGGTGCTGGCGCGCATGCCACTCGCGTGTCGCAGTGCGACCGATGCATGCGTGGAAACATTAAGAGAGACACGAGGGAAAGGCGCTCGACTCACCGTCGCCAACTTGAAGGCCGTCGCAGAACAACTGCCGCGATATCGGCCGCTTCAGTCTGAAATCCGCATCCCCCTTCAACTGCCCTCTCGGGAAGCTGCTGGGAAGCGCTGGCCCTCCTCCTTCTCTCGCTTTCCGCTCGTCCCTTTCCCGCTCCTTCCGCTCCTTCTCCTGCAGTCGCTTCCGCTCCTCCATTTGCTCCTGCGCCTGCTGTCGCTCCCTCTGCGCCGCCAAGCCCGCGAGCGCCACAGCCCTGCCTCGTCCTGCTCATAGCGGGATTACGAACGGTGACGCACTCGCACAGTATAGGTTCCTCGCAAATGCGTTCCGTCGCATTAAACACCAGAGGCGATCGTCGGCGCGCCGCGTTACTGGATGAAGCGACTCAGAGATTCGATCCCGGATCGTTTCTAGGCAACACCACGGAACGGAGTGAACAAGCGAGATATTGCCATTAAGTGTTGTGAAACGCGAATAGCAACAGCAGTGGCGCTCACCGTGTTTGGCGCATTTCAGCAGCAGCTGGTACGCCGCGTCCTTCGACGACAGCTTGCCGCCGCTCGACATGCTCTCAGCGTCCACGGCTCGAACTCAAGCTGCACGCACAGCACGCCGTTCGAAACACTTAGCAACGGCCGTTCAATTCCACGACAGCCCTTCGCGGTCCACCTCACCGCAGCACTCCACGTCGGCGTCCTATTCGTCGCAACTCGCCGAGGCGCGCGCGGCTCTGATACGCGGTACGCGCTTCAGAACCGATAGCTAGTTACAGCCGGACTGGCGAGCAGGCTTGGGTTGCACTCGGCATGTGCCCGCATTGACACAGTTTCGGCAGCTGGACTTCGCGCTTCATGTGTGAAGCAACTGAATCAGAATCAGACGCTGCAAGCAGAAAGACGAGGAAATCCAGAAGGGCTTTACGATGAGAAGGCGAGGGCCAGAATCTCCCATTGGTCAAGTGGAACTCCCATTGGTCGACGCAAGATTCACGTTTGAAATTCAAAACAGCTTCGGAATTCAAGACATGTACGAATCTTCAAGCTGACGCGATTAGGTGATACTATCGTAATGTCCCCTATATAATACCCCACGGGCCACGGCCTTAGAATGCATAATCTTGGTATTGTAGAGTGTAAAGAACTAAAAAGCCGACGTTGTTTATACGGACTTAACCTTACAATGTGTAATTGAATGCCTGCATGATGTGGATTTTTTGCACATTTGATGTAATATCGAATGAGAATGTTCGCCGATATATGCACGTCACACTGAAATCGTCAATAGGTATTTCAATAACAACAATCCCTACAAGATTCCAATCTTGCAGCGCGAGATTCGTGTACACTGGCCTCCTCGCTGTGCCATCCAACCTAGATACATCCATGACTCGAGGGATGGGGCGCACGGAACACGTTGGAGCAGCCTCAGGTGTTAGAATATATTTTATATATATATTCATACAGTTGTATGTAGTTCTATCTGTAGTGTAGTTATATTGCTGTCCTGTTCGATGGTGCACCCTTTGCCTTGCTATATCTTGTAACTCTTCTCTTAGTGAATTTCCTCTCTTTGGCTTGCACTTTACCCTAAGCCTAAACCCTAGGCTTTACTTAGCTTCCCATCTCAACATGGTTCCTAGGCCTCGTTTTATGCTCGTCATGGCGGCGCTCGAGTCGCGCTGCACGTCGATTCGCTGCTGACCGTCACGGCGGCGAGCTGCGCAATGGCGAGATCCGTCGCCCCGTGTCGTTTCGTCGCCCCACGGCCCCCGCGTCGCCCCGCACCGTTTCGTTGCCCCGCGGCCTCCCCCGTCGCCCCCTGGTTTGCCTCTCCCGTCCCGCGCGCTACCCCGTCGCCCGCGGCCCCGTCGCCCCGCCGCTGGCCGCGAACGCGAGCACCGACGCTAGCACCGAACGCGGCCGCCAGCGCCACGCGCCAGCGCGGACGCCAGCGCCATCGGCAGCCCACGCCCCCCCTCCCTTCCGCGGCTTCCGCCGTGGGAGGGGGGAGAGGTTGCGGGGGGAGGGTGAGGGGAAAAGGAGGGAGTGTGAGGGGGTGGCGAGAGAGATTCTGCCGAGCTAGCAGCCGCCCCTCCTCCTCTCTCTCTCACAGCCGCGTGTGTTGCTGTGGGGGGGAGGGTGTTACGATATGAAGTTTCATGAGAAGGCATTCCTGTATGCTGCAGGAGCCGACTCTACCGAGTACGAAGTCGAGGAGTCAGAAGAGTCGAATCGACGCAGCAACCGTCTGACCAAGACCAATGCAGGCAGAAACATTTGAAGTGAAAAGAGCGGGAACAGGTTCAAAACGGGTTCCCGCGCCGCACGGTTTGAATTCGCTGTAATAAGGGAATGTACTTCTTAGAGTACATGGCTAGTCTAGGTCTTTTCGCATTCCCCTGTATTCTTATATAAACTCGATGTATGCATGCTATTATCAACTCAGTCATTTACATTCACTCTGACCTGAGATTCAATCTTCCGCTGCAACACTACTCTGCGATCAACCCTGAGCGATCCTTCGCTAAGTCCCTCTTGGGATTGTAACATGGTATGAGAGCTACTCAGGGATTCTTCGCAACTTCACTTCCGTGAAATTCGCCGAACCAAGATCTGCCGAGCGGCACACGCTCCAAGACCAAGATGGCCGGAGGATCCGGAGGCCAAGCAAATCTGACGGCTGAAGGGCAATCCAACCCGGCTGCGACAAATGAGGCGACAACCACGATCGGCACTGCCGCCCTCGAGCAACTTTTCGCTCGACCTGCGCAAAGGCGATGCGGGAACCTCTTCCCAACCAGCACAACCTGGACAACCGGCCGAGAAAAGCCGTGATACCGCCGCGCACACCTTCTCCCTCGACACAGACAAATCAACAACAACTGCCCCCCGTCCAAGTGATGAAGCTATCAATTCTGCGCAAGCACGCTTTCTTAGCGTTTCAAAAATCAAAACCACTGCCGCGTTTGACGGCAAGGACTTCTACACATGGAGTTTTGAGCTTGAGCTCCTCCTACAAACGGCGCAGATCTACCATTACTTCGACGGCTCCTACCCTAAACCGGTGGAAAACACCGAAGTCGCCAGGGCTCAGTACTACAGCGAGTCCCTCATGGCCTACAGTGTGCTGCTTCGCAATATGACGCCTGCGGAACAACTCAACATTCGCTCCTACAAGGAGAGCGACGCTCCAGCCTTGGAAGCTTGGAAGCATCTCGTTGAAGTCTATCAGCCGAAGGATTCGGTCACCGCCAGCAGGCTTCTGCAGCAACTCCTGGAGATAAAGATGGGGCACGGGGAGAAAGCGAATCCATATATTAACCGCTGTCGCAACATTCGTGACCAGATCACGAAGCATGGGAGTACAATCTCGGAAGAGATCTTCGTCAACATAGTCCTTCAAGGACTCGGGCCAGAGTGGAAGCCCTGTAAAGCGCTACTCCGACAGCGAGGAATCATCTCAGAAGCCGCGCTATGCGCCGCACTCCTGTCCGAACAGCAAGACATGGACTCGAGCAGAACAAGCTCCGCGCCGAGAGCGCCTCGCCTTCTACGCAGACAACCGAAAAGAGCGACGACAACCAAGGCGCCATTATTGCAAAATATGCAAAGTCTTCGGACATTCAACGGATCGATGCAAGTTCCGATCCAACTTTCGCCACCCAAATTCCACTCACCACAACAACTGGGTCGGCCGACAAGACGCTCGTCATTCTCAACCTCAGCATCAACAAGCTCGTTCCCCTGCACAGCAACAACACCAGCAAACTCAAGGACCTCAATTAGGAGCTCCTAGGAACATCGTCGCGAACATGGCGACGCGCCGCCGCCGCACTGCTGAGCCTGACGAACAGAACGAAGTCCAAGGAAGACTTTTGGAACCAGAAGAGGGTTGGAACAATCCCCTCACTGAAGATCACTATTACCTGTATAACGAGGATGAGCAGTATTGGAATCAGCCAATCACTCTGCGGGAAAGCCCGCCACACGACAATCAGCACTACGTACCGGTGGGATGGAAGGAAGACGAAGATCCTTCCTTTCACAGGCGCTACAAGGCAACCCTGGTGACTCCGCGTCTGGCGCTGCTTCTGCGCAGGAACAACACCGACAACTATAATACCTGGTACCTGGACAGCACATGGTGGGATCAACGCGATACGTCTCAAATCTGAGCCGCGCCCCCGCAACCTACGTCACCGTCGCCAACAACGAGCAACTGCGTGCCAACTCACAAGGCATCGTAGTCCTGCAAGCAAGAGACAGCAACACACACATTTCATTCAACGACGTACTCTACGTCCCGAATCTGCGCTTCAATTTGCTCTCGGCTGGACAACTCCGTGACTGCGGAGTCATAATACACACGGATCTTGCCACGCGCGACCTCATCCTCACCTACGCTCCCCCAGACACACCTTCCGAGTCGTTTAAGTATCTCGGACGAGCCCGTTCAATCAACGGGATCTATATCCTGGACTTCGACGTACCTTCCTGCCAAGCGTCGTCAGACGAGCTCGTGGACCTCGTTCCTCTCGAGTTCGCCTTCATGAACAAGGAATCATGGGAGCATCCGGACGGACGACCGTGGATTCGACGCAGTCCCCATCCCCGCGAGATCAACCTGCACGACCCTGACATCAACGGCCTGTGCCGCACAGACCAAGTGGAGCGAGAATATGCGGC